ACCTCGGTTTGGGAGCTGTGCTTCTAGCAAGCAGATTGCTCTGCCTTCTACTCTGCAGCTCCTATTCCTGAGGCAGAAGCGAGGTATTCCAGCACGGGGCAGTGCTCTGCAGTAACTGCCCTGTCCGGCCGCCTGCCCACAGCACTGACCCAAGCTGAGTGATGATGTTGGAACAAGCCAGATCTCGGCTATAATGAGCTAGAACGACAGCTCAGCCCTATGAAGAGGACTGGCGTTGCATGTGCGCGCAACAGGGAACAAGTGCAACAATCCAAGACCGGAATGTGTGTACAGGGAAGAAATGACACAGAGCGTGAAAAACAAGGTGTTGACATAAATCTGTTCTTGCAAGTGCTCTGTATCCTTCCAAACAATATAATAAACCAGCTTAGAAGGCAACCCCACCCTATTTACAGCTTCTCCCTGTTAACAAGTACAGCACCACTGGTTTTAGAAAGATAAGTGTTTTCTTCAATGCTGAGCTTGGTTTGGACGTACCCAGTGGCAATTGGGAGGGAGGGATGTGGGTGTGTTATAACTATCCCTGAGAGTAAAACAAATTCTTAAAGGAATTTTCCTATAACTTCATCATAGTAGTTGAGACCGATCAAGTGCTGCTTCCACAGGTATTTCCTCTGAGGTGTTCACGTCCCTTGATTACCTCTTTCCTGCATGAGCTTTGTGGCCTACAGACAAATTTTCCCTCCCCTTTCTCAGAATAAGCCCTTATGGGAGTGGGTGGCGTTTATGAAGTTAGCCTCTAACTTAGCCGACTGGCCTTCGCTAAGGTTTGTCTGTAGTTACTGGAAAGAGAGAGGTTCCTTCAGGCATTTTAAGGCTTAGCTCTTTAATCTTCATCTAGTGGGGTCACTCTTGCTTCACTGAATGCAACAATTTAAAGAGATGAGCAGGCTCACTCAGACTGGTACCTAAAGTTAGCTTTCAAAACACTTAGAGACCAAACCTGATCTCTGAAGGCTTTTTGGAGACCAGATACTTAATACACATGCACCAGTCAGTCCTACCAGCCATTCACGCTGTGGCAGCACCGGGGTCATTTTGCCAGTGGGTTTTCTCCAGGAGATTTTTAGCTTTTTTAGAAGGTTTTTTAGAACTCGGGGCAAATGAACCTTTTTAATTTTTCTGAAAGCTTACTTTTAGCCTTTCCAGCTCCCAGCCCGATTATCTCCATTGTTCCTCTATGGCATAGAAACCAGAGCTGAACATCTGGGCTCCTGTGACGTGATCCTTGGTACTGAAGAGCTGGAAGGGTAGCATGGTCTGCACTTTCTTGAAACTAATGCTGGCTCGGGTGGCTGCAAGCTGCCCTGAGGGCCATCCCCTTTCAGTCTTGCCATAGTGAATGAAACCATTACTATGTTCAGTTATCCATCTCATTCTGTGTTGGAGGTTGCTGCTTCTGCAGCAGAGTCAGCAGAGGGAAAGCAGACCTGTACCTTGGCTGCTCCATGCTGTAGTCAATTTGAATGTAATGTGAGAAAGAGTCTGCACAAGGATGCCAAAGTGGAAACTAGACTGTCTACAGTGTGGGCATGGTAGCAATTCCAGCAGAGGTGTATCACGAAACTCAGGACAGCAATGTCTTAAAACATTGAAGGTGGACATGAGTCAAAGCCCTGATATGTACTAAGTCAAACCATTCTTTAAACAGTCTATTTTGTTCTAATCTGAAACTGGTTGGAAGTACAGATGTGCCTGAGGTCTTTAAAGTTTTAAAGGAGCTTAAAATGAGCTGTCTTGGTACCAGCTCATATAACTTCCTGAGCTATCATTCTTGTTGTCTATGCCATGACAAAGATCCCATAGGATAATACTAGTTTCTGCTATCTGAGTGCCAAACACCTTGCTAGCTACAGCTAGTATTAACAATCTCAAGTGAATCACATAGTTGAACAGCCACAGGAAAATGTGTGCAAGTCCTGCAATAAAGCCTTTTGGCTATTTTATTTTATTCTACAAATAAAGACAACTGTCCAGCATTAAATGGAAAAAAAAATAATAGTTTGAGTTGTATATAGCATGAAACAGTAGTTCCCTTCACAAAAACATTTCTAATTCATTAGTTTATTACAAAATATCCACTCACAAAAAAGCACAAGCGCAATCTTTATACTTGTGAAATGAGTTGATATTTCATATACAAAATAATTTCCACATAATTCCATATAATTTTATTTTATATAGAAATAGGTCATTATTACAACAGCTGTACAATACACTACTTTTTATTTAATAATTACATAAAATCTTTCTTAGAAACATATCAACAGAAAACATACAAAAAAAGCGAAAAGTGCATTTCTTTTTTTTTTCCCCCCAAAGGAAAATTCAATCCTAAATGTTATAATGAAAGAGATATGTAATAGTCTGCAGCATCCCGAGTCAGTGGGCCAAAACACAGTGCATATTTCTCAGAGACTTGCAGTGGGTGAGTTTAGTTTGAAGAAGGATCCATGTTGTACTACTGGAGAGTTGCATGATTGTGCTTACAATTTGAGTTCTCCTTTGCAATCACAATTCATATAGAAAACAGTCCAGTGCGCGTTGTGGGTTGGTTTTGTTTGTTTGTTTCTAGTCATGAAGAACAGTTAGGGTAAGCTGCATAATACTTTTCAGATTCTAAATCAAGGGTTATGAGCTGTAGACCATCTTCACCAATGTCTGGGCTTTCTCCTCCATTGGATGGGCTAATTTGGCCACAAGAATAAGGAAACAAACTTCTCTTTACAGAAAGTGCCTAGGTTTTGTCCTCTGTGCAGTTGTGCAAAATAATAACAATAATCATAATAAAAATAATCTCTTGTTCTCTCCTCAATAGACCTTTGACGCAGTGCTTTTCATACACAAAAGAAGAACTGAAACAGTGAAGGCCAAGTACCTCATAAGTCTGTGGACAGTCTTTTGGAATTGCCAGATAGCTTTCAGAGTGACACGCCAAGATTGAACGCCTCCTCCCGTGCACCCATTGACGATGGAGGCTGCACAGGATAGTGTTCCTTTTTATTTTGCTTTGCCAGTACACACTGTGCTCGCGAGAGAGCACAAACTGAATCCAGCATGCCGTAAATGCGCTGTCTGTGGCAGCCTGCACTCTGTGGCGTACTTCTGTCATAGAGCTTTGAAAGAAATGCTTGTGCAAAAGCCAAAACAGTAAGTACAAAGTCATTCTCCTCTGCCCCATGTGCCCATTGGTTAAAGCTAATCGTGCATTGATTGTGCTGGTGGGACTCTATCGCAGTGGCTGTGGTAAATTTGATGATTCTGATAAGCTATTGCTTCTTCTTGATGTTAGTTGCTGCTGCTGCTGCTGTGTCTGATGATACCCCATGTTTCCTTGCTGTGGCGAGTAAGATGGCAGGAGCAAAGAATCAGGTTGCTCATTGTGCAAAGAACTTGGTGTTTGCACCTACAGATAAAATAAAATTCATCGTGGTGTTCGATTCTTTCACATGTTAAAGCTCTTCATTCTCAATTTACAAGGTGCTTAAAAATACTACTAGTTTGCTGGCTTTTATTTCTGGGGCTGCTTGGCATGGGGATAGCTTATCTAATGCTAGAAGGAATGGACATAAATTGCAACAGAGAGAAAGCTTTTCTAGTAGGAATGCACTGCCTAGGATTTGCAGGTTATCCTGAAAAGCCTCTTCAGGAACAGGATGGGCGAACATGTCAAAAATGACGCAGATAACAGAAATGCAACAGGGGATCCTAGTGTACCTCATGCTGTCCCTTCTAGCCCTTCCTTTTTGTGAGTTTGCAGTACGGTGTGACCTTGCAGTGGTGAAGTCAATGTGAATTTTGCAGGTGCTTTTATTGGGAATGGTATCTGTCACAGTTTTTTTATTAATTCTCAGCTATGATAAGGATTTCATTTCAATAACGAGTTTAATCAGTTGAGGTTGATGATACTCTTTCAATGATGTCAGTGGATATGAGATCAGGCTTTATAGACTAAGTTCAGCTCCTTTTGAGTTAATACTGAGACACCTCATTTTCTTCCTTCTCCTTTACTTTACTATGTGTTGAATTAGGTCAAAAAATAAGTATTTTTACATCTTTAAATCACCTGGTTCTTCCAGGCAGTTTGCTCCAATTTATCGTCTTTGCCTTGTGGAGTTGAAGAAATATGTTAATTTACTGAAGGGATCCAGATATCTGATCCAGATCTCATTTTATGTCGATGCTGGTAATTAAAAATCATCTTTTGACTTGTAAACTAAGCAAATTTTGTACTGAATAAAGAGTATAGAATAAATCCTAAGGCAGCAATTTTCTCCGTCTAGAAATACACTTTAAATATATCCAGGATAATCTGATTATGTTTCCAGTGTACAGAATTAGTAATTTCCTTTGAAATATTCTGACTGTCCTCACTGCTCCCTTGCCATACTGGAAGGATACAAGACACCGTGTCAGTGTCTCCCACATTTCAGTATCTCTAAAATGGCCCTTTCTGCCACGCTCAGGCTCCTGCTGAGTTATTACTCTGCGTGTATGTTTCATACATCATCCTCTTTGTCCTGCCCTACCTGCAGGTAGCGTTGTTGCTGATGCTGTTGGTGCTGGAGTTGCATAGGTGGCAGAGAGGATGGCTGGGAAGGAGGTGTAGTGGCGAACCCTTGGTTTAACACTGCTTGTCCCATCAGTACGATTGGAGAGCCGCTGCTGGAAGTCTGCACTTCCAAACTTGGAAACATTTGTTGGGTTTGAGAGTATCTGTGGAAGAAAGAAGTAAAACGATCAAGAACAAACTGTTGGAAGCAAAAGTCTTCTCTTAGGAAGTCCCTAGTCCTTATAAATCATTGCTAATAAAGGATTCCAGTGCGTGGGACCTGCTAATATGAACAATGGCACCATTGGCAGCACTGTTTTCCCTTACTCTGTGCATGAGCTGGACTTAGAGGGCAGAATACATCTCACCTCAAAATCCAGACCGCATTTTAGATTCGTTAAAGATTCTGATTTACCCATTTCTTCTCTTCAGCCACAGCATTCACATCCCAGGCTCATGAAACCGAATGGCCTTTGATTCTGTATTAATATGCTGAGCTCTGAACTGCGGCGTGAGAGAAGGATATGCACCTCCCGTTCTGCTGCCTGTGCTCCCCTGCGACTGCCTGCGGGGTGGTAATCTCTTGCAGAAAGAAGGGGAGGGTTGATCACTTCTTAAGCTGCTCACAGACATATTGCCGAGCATGGTCAGCAGGTCCCGTAGCTGTGAGCCTCACTGCAGGAACAGAAACAGCCTCTAGAAGTCCTCTGGAGTGAGCGATGGGACAGAAACAAAATACTCGGCTCCTCTTGCCAGTCTGCTTTTGCATAGCAAAACTTAAATGTGTGTTGTTTTGTGGAAGGCTGTGGGCAAAACCACAATGGAGCCATTGCCAACCCAGCCTAATTCTGTTTATCCTGTAATGGGTGATGAGATCATAGTGTGGCGTGTGTTCGCTCAACAGCTGTTCAACATTAGGGGCTAGTCAGAAATGCTACAGTTTGGGTACTTGTACTAGGATGTGAGCTCCTAAAAAAGGGTCCTGTGAGTCAGGAAGTCTACGTGAACTGGGAGATGTATCTTTTGAAATCAGGCTGCTTCTATTTAGATGATGAAAAGCAAATCTAAAATGCTCTATATTTAAAGTTGAGAAATGTATCTCAAGATAAACAGCAATAGTGATGTTTAAATAAAGAAGTACTGAATACCTACATTCGTGAGGTAACATACAGAATTACTTTTAAAGTAATGATGTGCAAATGGTTGCCTGTTATTTTAGCAGTTCACAATTAAGTACAGTGACAACAACCAGATAAGAAACAAAAAAAAGGCATTTTCAGACTGGCGTTTTCTGCTTCCTTCATCTAAGTTTCGAGGAGACAAACAACTGAAGTGGTTCGTTCAGCAGCTTTTCCGAGAGCGTCCATGCGGAGCGGCCTGTTGGTTGTTTCAGTTCTGCTGGTGTGGACTAGGCACAGCTCCAGTGGTGCTACACCGGCGTCTCACTGCCCAGCAAGGAGGAGCTTTCTTGGCACCGGTCATTTCAACTGGCCAGTGCTGACTTTCTCTCTCACATTTACCTTGGTGGGTCAGAAGATGCGGCAGTGAAGCAAGCATCATGCAAGGGAGAAAAATTCCCCCTTGGCTTGTTAAAACGCTACTGGCATGTTGTGTTTCTCTCTGTCATCCTTCCTGATGTGACCAGGCAGGGTAAGGCTGACCCTGACACTGGAAGGCAGGCTCAGCACAGTAACACGTTCCCGATATTTATAACTTGCTTCGTCATCTTACTAAAGAAAGCTATTTCCCCTCAAAAGCAACTTGGATGTTTTATCTTTCACAAGTCACGTACTTAGCCTGGGATCCCGCTATGCTGAGGTCTGAAGGGTGTCTTGCATTACAGGACCCAGGCATCATGGGCTGGATAGGCTGGCTGAGCAACAGTCTGGTGCATGGAAAAAAAGAAAAAAGTGACATTGTTGTAACAGAAGGACGACACAAATCCCGTATTTTGAAAACAGAGACAGGATGCTTTCGTAGGCACGGCACAAGGCTGAGCATTAGCAGATGTAAGCTCAGCTCCCGGCCACGGCAGGCACGTCCCGAGTGTTGTGAGGTGGAGATCTGGGGCAGTGCGTTCCCTCCCTGGCAATGTGGGTGCCTTGCTGGGCACTAGGGTTTCAGGAAAGCAAAATTTATTTTCCTCCTGCTGGCGGGGATGGCTTGCATTTGAACTTTCTGAGTATCAGACTATGGGTTTTTTTGGTCCACGTGTCTAGTTGGATGCCAAGGTGGATCCTCCACCGCCCACCCAGGGGAGCCTGAGACAGTGAGGGAAAAGCAGAGACATCCCACCACGCCGCGGTGAGGAGGCGCCGCAGAC